ATCTTGAATTCGACGCGAAAACTTCCATTTCAGCAGACGTCTATAGTGATGTAAGCGGCCGACGATGCCTAGCGCGCCGCAGAACCGAACTGAGTTAGCCTGTCCCACTCGCCTGGTCTTTCCGATCAGAGCGAACGGGGATTGAAAGATGCCAGCAGTAAATGTCGCTAATGCGACCGAAATACATATGACCTTCTCCTGTTCAATGGCTGGTACATCACCGTTTATGCGTTTTGCTTCGTATACATAACGTCAGAATATAATATATTAGACCTACCTTGGTTGCTACTAAAGCGAACCAGCGGTAATTGACATTTGTCAATTTTGCAAAAATGGAGTAATGGTTTTTTAGATCAGAACACGTTATGCCCTGGTGTCATCATCTTATGAGCGACCTTAAAATGGCGGTGCCAGGAATTTTGGCAATAAGTCCTAGCAGTTTCAAAACTTTAAGGCCACAGTAATTCATATGTCACACTAGAGGTAGCAGAAGGACGACAATCATAGTGAATGTGAAACATATTATGGATGGTCAGAAAACTTTGAAATCCTTTAGCATCCGCTTTTCTAAGAAAGCTCGTCTGGACGATTTGCCTCTTTTTAAACAATTGATGCCATATGAAGGGTGTGATCATATCTATCTACGACAAGATATTGCTTTTCCAGCTAAATATGTTAAAACTTGTTGCATTTAGTATGTGTAGTTGCGAATTGATTTTTATTGTTGCATTAAGGTTATTACGATCAGTCTGAGCCGTATTCTATAAAATTTTACCATAGTATTATCATTATCCTTATTCTCTTTTATTTTACTCTAAAGCACTTTAAATATTTTCCCTACTCATTAAAGGTCCATACCGACATTATTCGTAGGCTATAAGTATTTTCTTTTATTAGATCTAGTATTAAACTTTCCTATCCAATTATTATTTTAGCCGTTTAAAAATTATAGTTAGACCTCTAGGGGGGAAGCAGTAATTCACCGACAACTTTAAGTTTTCCTACTAATACTTTGAATTGTACGGCGGAGGGCGTGGTAACAGTTGAAGCTAAATTGCGGATGTTATTACCTAGAGTGACACATTAGCATTTCTGACATGGTTTTCTATTCTTTTTAATGGTGCAACTGTTTTTTAAAAAAAAAAAACCTTCTCTGTGTGTTTACTGTCTAATTTTTCTCTTAAATGGTAAGCGTGCTAAGGCACTCCTAGAAAAGGTTTTTGTAGAGCCCGAAACCTTGATCAGTTTATTTGATTCAATATAGGTGAAAGGGCTTCGTTGGTTTCCAAGGTCAGTAAACGGTTTTGGCTGTTATCGAGGACACCTCGGCCGGCACCACCTAACGACTGTGCGAAGCGAGACTGATTACACCTTACATGGTAACACCTGTCAATGAGTGGACTTTCATTATCTTTGAGTCGTTATCTTCGTCGAACGCCTGACATCAACGCGGTCGGCCACACTGACAGTTCCTCTGGCAATGATAGAGCTTCGTTGTCCTTGCGGCCACTCACTCGATTAGCGAAACGTCAACCCATATGATAACAACGACGTTAAGCTAAGCTGTCGCTGACAAGGACCATCGACTCACTGAGCGATCGGTCGGCACCTTTTCAACCGTTGTTACAGATAGCTGTTATATTACTTTAATTTGTTCTGTATTTCCGTTGTTGATAAGGGAGCCCAGAGCCTTCGAGCGTAACGCAGTAGGGGATGTTTCCGCTTTTCTGACACTATTAAAACAAACATGGCCATCCAGACTGGCTTCTCGGCGGTGGGACGAACCTGTTCCACAAAACACAAAGAGGGAAAGATGACGGGGTCTACAAACACAAATACGTCGTACCGAATTCGATGATAACAGCTGCAACAGTAGCAGTAGTTACGGAATGCTATACCACTTTGTCGGCCCATTTAGGCTGACGTGTCGGGAAAGGGGGCTGGCAGTATCATTTTTAGCTCCTTTTCACACACAAATATTATTGTTAAAAAGACAAAAGGGAATTGCATTCATGACAGCACGTTGGTAGTCAGTTAAGCTTGTAATCAACCATATTCTCTCCCTAATTTGGAAACAAGACGAAAGAACAACAAAAAAAACAAAAAAAAAGCCATTTTTGAGTTGATTTCACACTCATGAACCCAAAGGTGTCCCTTCTAACTTGAACAACCGGTAATGAAAATTAGCTCTGATAAAAGTTAAGCAAAAAGCTTTACGGTAACCCGTTACGATGAGGAGCAATATCCTTGGCGTTCATACGCTTCTATAGGCGACTTGACGATAGAACAAACAAGCGAGACTTTCGCAGTATCTGTGTATCGTTGAAGAAATAATGCCTGATAAAGAAATGATCATTTATTACAACTGAAAAGCGTTTTAACTTGAGCTTTTGAACCCACCCATTTTCAAGTATATCATTAACAAATACTTATTTATATACACCTGTGTACGCGCTCAAAGAGCCGGACAAACGGTACTTGGCTCGCTTTTCGTCATTTCGCCCACTCTCTTAGGGTAAGTTAGTCTCAATCTTAACACAGTTTATTAATTTAGTTGGCGCTGCTTTCGCCTCAGAACCTTTGTATTATAACCAATTTATTGATAAGCTCGATATGACTAGCAGTCGCAATGTCGAGTCCAGCCTCAGCACCGCTGCCGTCGTTACTGCAATATTGATGACGCAGACAATGACAATTAGTCGTCTGATTACTGTTGGCGCATAGACGCCTGCACGCTGACGTGCATGTACGTCTGACCCAACAGCGCGTAAAGTTCCGCTACGATTTCGAAGGTAAATTTCAAAACTATAATGCTATAAAATAGGGATCAAAAACAACCATTCTATAAAGCGTCGTAAAAAACCATTCTGTTTCACTGAACTTTGGTTGCCCATAGGCGAAACACGCTGTCTCCTTAAGCGATTTCTGCCACGTTGGTGGTACCACTAAGGGCCTCTGCTTGCAGCGCCGTGTTGGGCCGATCTTGAACGACGTTGTTGTTACATTACGTTTTACAGAAACGGTGTTTGTGCGAGAGAGTTGTCAAATTTTCGAGATAAGACGGCTTCACTTTGACTAGCAGCTTATCTGGCTATCGATTTTAAAGTAGCACTCATATCGTACGGGCAGACCTATTGGATTCGGTAGGCCGCTACATCGCTCTCCAGGCCTAAGCGTGAGTAAAAGGCGCCCGCAGACATTTAGCTCTGGCTACAGTTCAGCAGCGTAACCGATGACGGCTTTTGTTTGTGTGTAAGCGTAAGATTGTACTAGTCATATTAGAGAAATAGTATATTGCTTTCATTTGTGCGCTGCTCTGTATTTACACACACATGTCCGCCTGCGCGTTCGCCTATCAAATATTGGTACTTCTTTTGCTGAGGATTTGCTGGCCGCCCGTCACTCTACGTTGAACTTTGAGGTGCTGATGGTACTGATGTGGGTGAATCTACCTGATCTAGTTGACTACCCGATGGCAATCCGCAACCCGTCATCGCATGCGTAGCTTCTGCGACTACGATGCACATACGGGGCGACGCAGACAAGCAGGTTTGTCGCCAGACCTAGATTGTATGCCACCAGCGCCGAATAAACAAGTAGCGCTGTTGTAAATTTTGTCGTTTTCCGCTTGCACCCCCTTCTACCTTTCGCCCCTAGTGCCTGCTGTCGCATAAATGGTATCACACCAACCTGCTCAAAGGCACGTTGAGGCACAATATTGTCGTGGTGCCTGTCGCATCCTTAATAAGGTCAGTCTGCAATATGCGCCCTGCTCGACAGGGCAAACCAGCAGATTCCGATACTGCCACAAACTTGGTAAATATCGATATCATTGGAGCAGTGAACGGCACAGATAGCCCTAGAAGAGATGAAATTAGTACGCTATGTCCATCACGTAGCGACAAAAACCCCATCTTTTTAACTAATTTAAGTGATATCCTTGGTTCAACCGACATTTATATTCTATGCCTAGTCCAACTTAACTAGTCCAAAGACCATTATCATCTGATAAACTGACATAAGTTTACTGCTAGTTTAGATCGTACTATATATGATTAAAAGAAAGTCCATATATTTAGGCGTAAGTCGGGTATGCCAAGGAGATAGGTAAATAACTAAAACCGTGTTGTTTGTTTAACGATTGACCATTGATTTTTTAAGTGGTATGCGCAAAAAAAATTGTAGTCTGCAACGACATTTTGCCCCATCACCGCCATTGATTGATAAAGTGACGTAAGATGATGTTACAGATACAGTCTCTCATTCAGTGAATGTGAGTGTATTAATTTTAAAAGTTAATTTACTGGATCAGATGGTGTGAACTTGTTTTTGATTGTAACGTTATGCAGCTTCTAGATTGACTAGAATGCGACAGAACATAGGACTCTGGCACACAAAGAAGATATCCACTGTTAACTAAAGTTTCGCATAGGCCTCCCAATGGCACCTTCTCTGCTGCACAGAGTGTCCTGTCGTCCTGCCATGGCTGTACGGCTGAATTCGATGGCTCTCCTAATACAATCTGACAATTTATCTTCCGACACACGGCGGAACATTTTTTCTAATCGCATAGATCTGGCCTTAAGATGGGATATACAACAATGTTCACGGAAGCCTGCTAGCCTGAGCAATTAAGTTTGATAGTCTGTAAACGTTCTGTGTAAGTAGCTTATAGATATACAGATACGGGCTATACAAACGTGCCTTGGTGCCGTTTTTCAAACTGTCTTCAGCGCCATATTCCAGAAAAACCGCGTTTAGTGGGTAGCCGTCGACCAACTGCGTTTTTTGAAAGGTACCAACTCGACAGCCATAACGAATTTCCTCAAAACTAACGTCGACTGATCAATTAAAGTAGACGGAGTTCTGAGAGAAGCTATTTATGTTGTTGTTCTGAAAAGGATTTGGATATTCAAATAAAGAAACAATCTACCAACGTGTGCATAAACCAGCTGATCTAAGTCAGTTTTTATGAAGACAACTGGAACAGTTAAATAATTTTGATAATTTTGCGGCTGGCCGCTAGCTAACTGTTAACTATAGATCTGTTATTAATTCTCTTCGATAACTTCCAGACGACCGATAGGGTGACGACGATTATCGTGAATCCCAAAGCCTGTTAGACTATTGCTTATCAATCAGACGACTACACGGAACCGAAAACTTATCAGCCATGATTATATCGTCTTTAAAAAGTTACCTATCATTTTCTTCACGACGGCGAATTTGTCGACGAATTTAATACCGAAAAATCCTGAGTGGTACGACTTTAGAGATAGGGGGCGAACGTTTGACTGCTTAGCTGGTCGTAGAATTGGCCATTTGGCCCATTTCTCTCCCTAATATAAAAGAAAAAAAAAACGAAACCAATACGATATCATTGTATAAATAGTTATTTCTTGCAAGAAGGTTGGTTTTGTCCAGTAGCAGATTTGTCAAAAGTATAAAGCTACAGAAGGGATCTAGTTCTGTTGAAGATATTTTCTTAATTATAAATGATTTTTTGCACAGTAGAAGCCAATAAAACTAATGATCAAGTGTAACCTTTGGACACGTCCGGACCCTCGCTTCTTTCTAGCCAGACAAAATTCATTGTGATCCAACATCACTATTTCTTTTTTAAATTTAATTATTTCCATTCTGAGCTATCACTACAAATATTTAGCTTTCCTGCGCTTTTAGGGTCGCCTACTTCAGACTTGTCCTCAGGTTCTTCACACTTGGCACGGCATAATTCTAATTCCGATCCTAGTTCACGTGGCCAGCACTATGGCGTCATCCTAACGGAATTTCATTGTTCCACGAGTTCCGTCTTAGGACTCTCACGAAAGTGCACCATTATTGCAAACGGTGGACATCAATCTATTTTTTGGCCATCCAAAGAGCCGCTTTCCATTTACCTTCTTTGTTTCATTCCCGCTCATTCAGCTTCATCACTCCCAGCTCCTACCCCCACGCGCAGTCCAACCCCTCTGGCTACATACAGCAGAGAACACGAACAGTCATTGCTGCGTGCGCGAGCGACGAGATACATTCACGAGACGAAAAGTGATGCATACGGCCCGCCATAGTTTGTCGCTCAGGATATCGCTGGATTTAACGCCCTCACGTCAGCTGTGCCTAGCTTTGCGTCGACACCTCATCGAATAATAACGAGACTCGGACAGATGAAACGAGAAGAATTGGAGTCATTTGCGGACAGCATCACGTAAACATGGCAACAACAGTAACGGACTGACTTGTTTTGCGCCTGATGCCGTTGTTCCTGCCTTCAGTGGCCTTCTGTTTTTCACCGGCACAAGCCGCTGCTATCGTTGAGGATCGCTTCGGCGATGAACTAAAAGCTATTATAGTAAAAAAAGCCCATGGGTGAGACGCGTGCTGTGCCACCCGGATCTTCTATCTAGGCGATTGCTGCTGCAGCCGCATCTAGGAGAGGTCAAGGAAACAGAAAACGGCAATTTACGCTATAAGGTCATCAGAAGCCGGTTGTTCTCTACTGACTGGACCCGGTGGCGGACCTATATGCCCTCCCGCCCGTCCGTTTGACTACCTAACAACTAACCAAGTTGGAAAACTTACTTACGACATTGCTTATAATCAAATCCGAAAAAGGTATAGGTAACAGCAAAACGAAAAACTGCTACATCTGAAAGCGACTTTCTCAGACACTCTCAGTTCGGGTTCTGCTCATTAGGAAAGAAGGTCACGAATCAAGCAGGAACTAGAATGAGAGAATACCAGCCAAAGCCAGCGAAAGTAATACGGGAACACAAAAAAATGAAACACCCACACGGGAAGCCGTTGCTGTTGGTGTGGTTGTCATCGCCATTTTTAGTGATCCAACGAGCGTTTCTCGTTCACCCAGGGGCAGCAGCAACGGCGGCGGCGGCGGCGGCGACCGAAATCTAGCAGTCGATCATGAGCTGTAGGCTGCTGCAACCAGTGCACCCTATGGGTTATCTGTAGTTATACGCTACTGGCCCCGAAAAGACGCTAGTAACAGCACAGTTATTTTAATAAGGCCAATGGATCGCTAGGTGATCATCATCACAATGAGCTTGGTCATTGCTGTCGTTAGTCCCTTAACAACAAATGGGTTACTCCGCTCTCCGCTTGCGCTTGTTCTTTTACGCCGCTGTTCCCTTCCTGCTACTCTTGCAGAGTATGTTTCTGTTTCTTTGCGAGCAGACGGCAGCCGGCAATGGCGGCGCCACTAGCAAGCAGCGCTGCTTGTCTGCTCCGCCATCTTATAAGGTCTGAAAGAAAAGAAGGATCGGCCGGCTAAGACGAGCGAACACAACCGGCAGCGAATACGTAAAAAGATAGAAAAAAAATGCTTCATCAGCCCGGTGACAGGTGAATAGCATCATCATAGATGGGCATTACTTTGTCGATGTTATTTGCCAAAAGAAGGATCACTTGGTATCACAACTGGAGCTTATGTATAAGATCTGTCAAATATGCAACACGTTTTGTGCCCGTCGGTTTACATGGTCTTCTTATTCCTTTGCAGTATTATAAACATACTTGATAAATACATGAGGAACATGTCGTCTACCGCATATCAAGTATACGGATGGTGGTAAGAGAGATATTTTTTTCTAAGCAGAAAATAATGAAAAACGTGGTTGTATGAGTCTTCGAGACATAAAAAACAGGTCATATTCGTCAAGTGTTTATCGTATCTGCGTTTTTTAACTTAGTTAGTATATATCCACTGGTAGATTCTATTGCAGCACATATTTGTCATCTTACGTACTGCCAGATTTGCTATAGTTTTATGCTAGCAGACAGAATCTATTTAATGAAAGTTACAATCGAGTTCCCCCTCTAATGCGTACCATATGAGTTTGTCTGTTTCGGTTTCTATCAGGTACATGACGTGCCCAGCCAATCGTTTAGCTATCGATCTTCGAAAATATGAAGCACACGATAACATTTAGGAGACTTTGTTGGGTAAGAGACTTTGCATACGCTGGCTTGATTTAGCTTGCGAACAGCAAGATCAAGTATCGGTAGCACTGGAGATCGTGAATCCATAGACCTCTTGTAATTTTCGTTTGTGCTTCTTTTATCAAGGATTTGGATGCAAAGATTTATTTAAGTAAATAAAACTCACTACGTTTTCGCATTTCTGATTCTTGATCAAGCACAGGTATAAGGTTCTCCAAATGGCAGCAAGTTTTGTTGTTGTGTAGTTTTTGCAGAAGCTTTCCACGAAAACGTTAGCTTCCACAATGAGTCTGGTCGTAGTGTGTCCGTTTTATTTACATTCCGCTCGTAAAAGCTGTTAGATAGGGAGAACTCTTCTCGAGTCTGTCAGCAGTGGGCTCATGTGAATGCTTGCGGGGACCTTCATCTGCCACGCGTCAAGAATCTTTCGCACAGGCGTACTTTGTAGGCTAGTTGAAATCGATACATGCCTTAGGGTAGCCGGACGCCCTATACATCCCTCCCGAATGCTGTTATTAAGGTTTTCATTGTTATTAAGATTAGTCTGGTAAAGCGAAGGCAGGCATCCAGGCCTAATAACCCTTTGTAGAGCGTTGGGGCTTCTCACCAGTTCTACGTTTTCGAAGAGGAATTGGCATCAGGGTTTTACAGATACCAGACGGCTTTATACTCTGCGTATTCGTCACCTACGATACGTTTAACACAATTATGCTACGCATTACACAAATTGAATCAAGTTCGCTGTCGTTGCAAGTTTAATATGTCTATTTGTTAAATTTCTCCTCGAAATAAAATTGTGCAAATCTTGCAAAATAAAGCTCACTACAAAATGGCACGTCAAATGGTTTCCCTCGTTACTCCATAAAAGTTTCTATGAATGTTTTTTTTTTTTTTATTATCTCCAGCAGAGGTGAAGTGGGCTCTATTGCTTGGTCTATTTTGTCTCGTGTTAGAAGCAAGCTGCGAACAATTTACCGACATCGTCTGTCATAATCACGCTGCTTCATGTTCACACTCTCTGCCCTTAGCGGAGGTTAAAGGCTTGTTTTAAGCGGCTTTCCTTAAGTCTTTTCATGGTATAACTAGGACTGTAGGGCCCCTGCACTGTTTCGTTCTCATGAATGATATTTACCCAATACGATGTATCGTATAGTGATCTTCTGCAACTGATGTTTCAGCGAGTCTGTACTAAAATTAGAAATTTTCGAATATAACTCGATCAAGGGGGATAGACTAGAGGCTATTTTTAGAAATGAAATCAAATATATTCAGAGAGATTTTATGAGTCATTTTACACCTAAGTGGAACGTATCGCCACGCGGTATCGCATAGGCATCAAGGCCAATGCAAGCTTATTCATTGAGATATCTGCGGTTAGGCCGCTCGTGTAGGCACATTTGTTTACCAATGAAGCGATGAGGATCTGCAGAGATGTGGCGGCACTCAACTTCTTGCTGCTTTGCTCTATTCGGATTCTTATTCTATCAAATCCGTCGGAGAACAGAACAAAGATCTCTGTCACTAGGTATATCTGTAGGCACTTCCAGAGCCACGGAAGTCTTCTGCATAAATTTTGCAAAAGTCTCCGAAATTATTTTTCCTGAAGGCCTCTTCTATCATTACGACTAGAGTATCTACTATGCACATATCCATATAAGTTGAGATGGGGGCCACTGGCTAGAGAACGGTCAACGCCGGAGCGCAGTCACGTGTAATTCTAATACGACGAGACTACCCAGAGTATTGATTCGCAAACTGGATTCACTAGCAAGCCAGGTCCTTTTCTAACGTCCTAGTTTTTGAAACAGCGTAATGTGACGATTTTTTACGAGGGCGGTCTGGCCTGCCGGCTTACGTGAGGGATGCGCGCTGTTTATTTAGAGTTTTTTTTTTTATAAAAGGTACCGTAGAATCAAGCTAATTCCGTTTTCTGTGTCGACTCTGTACCTCTACGATGTAATCGGGCCGATACCTCGACCCGTGCTAGTGCTTCGTAGAAACCATGTCGAGAATGATATTGTAAGCCGCAACCTCGTCCTGTTCTGCTTCTTTCCATAGTTCTATCTACCGTTAGTCGGTCTTTCCTCCTTTACTCAATACAAAAGTTGTCCCTCGTTTCGTGAACGTACCGACATTCTCATTGCCACCTCCGCTATTTCCGGCTTTCTGCCTTACGCTTAGGGTTTTGCTACATCGAAAATATCCAAGCAATGAATATCTGGTCTGCCTATGCATGGCCAGCTGTTTCCAACGGGAGATGTTCCTTTCAGAACTACTGCATTTTTGTTATTACTACTGCTAGGACTAGCAGCGGCAGCAGACGAGCGAAGACGAGAACGAAGCTGAGATACACACATAGTGGGGTTTCTCCCCAACATTTGTTTCCCCACAGACGCGTATTCATAGGCAATTGCATGTTTCTCGACATATATACCCAACGCGGTTAGTCTTACATAACACTCTGTTTAAATCCTGGTTTGCCTTAAAGCCGCATGCTTCGAAAAAGTCCCGATAGATATACTTTTAAATATGAATATTCCCATAGGCGAGAAAACGTTTCGCCTTTGGCTGACAGATTTGTCATTCTGAAGCATTTATGCCAAGGCGAGATTAGTAACAATTTCGACGGTACGAAAATTGACGCATTCGTTTAACATGGACACAAGAAGCTTGCTGCTAAAGGCTATACAATCAAATTATATAATACTTGGATACCCCTCTACCCATTAGTGCACACATGTTGCAATACTAAGGTCAACATTTCGACCCAATATACAAAAGTCGAAACCTTGCTGACATATAAGGAACGTCCCGGTGAGGAAACGACATATATACATCATAAGACCTTTCTTTTTTCAGTAATATTGCATCGTTTGCTGTGTTAACACTAGACGCTTTTACGACCGACACACGATATCAGAGCAAATTGGGTATCGCTGATAGATTTAAACGCTGCACAACATAAAATGTGTTGGGAACGCAAAACCAGAAAGATGCCTCGCTTAGGTTTTGCGTTCCCAATACATCCGTCAATGCGATACGCTTCTCTATGCCCTTTGGCTAACTGACGTTAGTTAAGAGGTCGAATTGCATTCTGAATATATTCGTAAGCTGTTAGCCTTTTTAGTAGTAAGATAAATATCTGACTACTCAATTTCCTTTATTTTGTGCTTCAGAATAGCTTCAACGAAGTGTCTATTTGAGAGAAACTATAGACTGGATGCTGGACCACCCGGTAGGAGTAGACAGCAAGCGTTAGCTGAGCTCAGGACATCGTCTTTGAAGTACGCAAAGTCTGAGAAACACGCAGTTCGGTGGAGTCCTGTGCCCATATATTTGTTAATAAAGTTTTGTTTTATTAACGTATATCACTATCATTATTTTAGTCTAAATAAACGTGTTTACGTTTGGAAAGAACAAACAGCCCGACGCCGCGACGAACAATCCTTCATTAGCACTTGTTGTTTCGGTGGTCAAAAAAGCCATCACAGATGGTGCCAAGATCGCGTATCACTGTAATCTCGTATTCCCTTATTGGAGGACCACCATCTGTGGCCTTCTCACGACCTCACGCTCGACGTCATCAGCAACGCTTACAGCCTTATTGTAGGTCTGAGCTTATAGACAATCAAATAACAGATTGGGACGAGACCTGTCATAGCATCGAGCACGTTCTATTCATTATCTCTCCTCGCTCTTTCGTGATGCTGTTCTCACGGCCTGATCACAGCTATTGTCTGTGGGGTCACTGTGTAGGATGTCAAATCTTTTGGCGACAACAACCGACTTAGAAACGCATCCATATTTGGCCGCCAGCCATATGAGCACCAGGACATCCAATGCGAACATTTGCCAGAGCTAGAGAAGAACGAACCAAGGGAGCTGGATTGTTTGTCTTTAAGCTCGTCCTCCGAAACCGTCGAGCAACGGATCGAGGACTGATTACTCAGAACATCGCGAGCGATATTTGCATTAACGACTAGGGGAAGAGGAAGGGAAAGAGAGAGTTCAAGGCTTTATTAATGCACAGTATGTTTGCATATAACGTGCGTAAAATGTACGATAACACCGTTAGGCGATGAAAGAGGAAAGCTAGCTTCTTTTAAAATGAATTTATCATTAACCCGAATAAACTGATAGCTCTTTGTCGATGCTCCAGACGCCTCAAACGTGTATACCATGGAAAACTAGGATCCCCCCAGCTACGGAAGGATACTTATAGTGTACAATGAATTAGGATTTTTCCACTATAAACTACAACGGTGGCATCGTAATGCTTAATATAATAAGTTTAAAGTGGAATTATGCTCCAACAGAGAGCTACTTGGTTAGGACATACATCGTGAATAATATGTTCTCATAGAAGGGTTGCGGGTGTATACATTTCTCTTTCAAGTACCCACGGCTGTAACAAAAAAACAATATAACAAACAAAATATGGTGGCAGATTTTAAGATGTTCCCTGATACACGCACGGCTTAGCTGAACGTTGATCTAATATCAATCGTCCAGCGCGCGTCTTTGACCTAAAGGACGATACTCAGTCGAAGTGATAGCGTTTACCTATGGTTAAGTCTCAATGACACACAGCGGTTTCTACGACTCCGTTGCAGTTCCCAGTTTTCTGTCGGTTAGAGACGCTGATCAAGCATTCACTGTATTTACCTGGAATGGATAATAATGATTGATTTAGGCTAACCTCGCCATGAACTGATACGAGACAAGCGAACTTAAAAGACAAAAAGAACAAAATATTCGAGACGGTCAGTCCACTACGATGGAGATCGTTGAGAATGATTGAGTATTACTAAACCGCCTCGCCCGTGTCTCTCATTCGATAGATAATAAATCGAGATAACATCTGGTCTCGAATGAAGTGATATATGCGAGGTATCTTATTTCGAAGTGTGTACTCGACCGACTTCCATGTTAACAAGTTGACTGTTCCTTGTAATAAAGCTATTTGTATACACGAGCTGACTTCAGAAAATTCGACGGCAGCTGTTACACAACTCAATCTCCCGTAATAGGAACGACTAGTCCAAATGACCTCTACTGAAAAATCAACACCTCGGAATCAACTCTACCTAGCTAAATAAGTAACTCAGAGATCAATGCTAATAATTCAACAAGGTGCCCCTGCCCAAACGGTCAAGCGAAATGCAGGAACTTCGCATCGCAGACCGCCGGTTCCTCGATCCCGTCATATTTTATTGTTCATTTCGTATACTACTCAGAACTCGCATCGGACAACAGTATTAGCTGGCATCAGTCTCGTTCTCTCTTCTCCTGGAGAAACTCGACGTTGATTGTGCCAATAATTAACCTTATGGGATGAATAAATTATGCCATATTACACTATGAACATATATAAAATGCTCAAAAAACCGTTTGCCTGCCAAAATAGAAGTAAACATATTTTACAATCAACGAAATACGCATCGTTTTGATCGATGACCTTCTGCCATTTTTCTGGTAATACCATAAGCCCAGCACTGTAGAACCTCCGCGATTTCTGCGCGAACATTTGTTTCCGCGTCCGTCTATTGGAATTACTGGAAGAGTTTTGACGCGGATAGTGCAGGATCCCGGTCTACACAGCGGATGCATGACAATCTTTCACCGAAATCAATTCGGGCCGGATAACTAAAGGTGCATGTGTGTAGCCTGGCATTGGCATCGTGGGACACGAGGCCGTTCCTGTTCACTAGTCTCGATCAATGGCTTGTTGCAATTTCGTTAATGGCTGACAGTAGAGATCTGAGGCAATCGTTTTTCACGCAGCAGCAGCAGCAACCCATAAGACGCATCACATAACCTTCCTCGACCTAGAACGTTCTAGGTTTTGCCATAGATTGTGGAGCGATTTTTTTTTTCGGGTCTGCACATTGTCCTCGTATGTGGTCAATTACCCCCTGATCAATTTTTTTAAATATGGCTCAGTATCACGTTTTTGTAAAGTTTTGCAGGTGGAAATACGATCGAGTACTATGTCAATCAGTGGGACATCGGGTTTTTTTTGTGGCCAGCTTTCTTCAGAAGTTCGAAAACTGTTTACTAATGAAAGTTCAGTTCCACAACGATGTTGTGACTATCCAAGCGTCGGTCTTGTTTAATTACTGTAATAATTTCATCGACTTTTTTCCTAACTGGCCGACTACTACAAAGAGCAAGTTTCCAGGTACGAATTTTCCAGGACGAAAGGGACAAAGCAACCTTTGAATCGTGTCTGTCAACTATACATCTCAATCAAAAACTGCAATTATTTTTAAAGGGCTTGGATAAAATTTTGAAATATAGCAAATTTTTCCGGTAATTTCACTTATTCTCAAGGTGGATTAATTTCCCGCATCCAACTTTGAACAGGCAGTCCATCCTTTTGGCAAATCTACTAACCAAACCTCAGCTTTGAAACGTTACCAACATCGACCCGACGCGACTTATATGGCCTGAGATATGACTGTTAGACTGTTACTTGTTTCGACCATTCTATACATATAGTTACGTCGATTTTCTGCCGGGTTGCCATCAGGTTTTGGTAGTTAACATGCTAAGACGCTCAACGGTCTGCGCGTGGCCGATCATTTGGCAGATTGCTCTGGACACGGCATTGCGCACCCCGGATGCCGTACTGAAATGATCATGTCAAATATATGCATAACTTTGGTGCTAAGTGGAATTAAGTAACCATAAGCTAAAGGAATGCCGAAATAGACTGGGCTTAGGTATGCTTCTAGATACTAGCTTTTCGTAGAAACGCTATAAACTCTTATGCTTCCTGTTCCTAGCCTGCTTCACACTACCAAGCCTGTGAGATTCAAGATACCTTTCGACAAGCCAAATTACATTTTTACAGTTATCTGATTACGCCTCAATATATGCCTATGAACTGCTCCTGCGGAAATCATCAAACTACTTTCTTACTCTGCTGACTTTAGTGCATTAGGTGCTGCTGAAGGAAAATGCGTCATTTCTCTTTGGCAGTTCGAGAGTTTTTATTTACAGAATCAATATTTGTTATGTACGGGAACATCATTTTGTGTCCCGCTGAGCTATCCTTAGTTCCATAATAGGCTTTCTCTGAATATTAGAGAACTCGTTGAAGCGATCCTCGTTGCTTCGTTCTAGTTCGTCCGTCTGAATATGGTGGAGTGTGCGTGCCGGTGTCTTGAGGTTATAGGTGTCGCTTAAAGCGATAGGGCATCACGTCGCTGTATGCGCGACGTACTGACCACGATGCGGCACGATTGTGGCACGACCTCAGTTAAGGAAGTCAGTGCTAGCGCGGGGATGTATAGAGACAGAATAAACGTATATAGAACGTCTATTTACTTCCCATTCAATTTGATTATCGCTTATCTGTTTTCAGAATGTATATATAAATAACTGTCATATTAATCACGTAGTTAATTTCGACAGACACGCTACATAATCGGCCGTCTGTTCGTTGCGCTGAAAAGTAAACTAGGCCTAGCTTACACAAGAAACACGATGGCAGACAAGCTGACGCACAGAAAATTGATAGGTACCAATAGCCTAAACAAAGATCACGTATAATCAATTACTGTTTACGATAGAACTACTCAAATAAAATTCGCGGATAAATAGCTGTCGAAAATTCTAACAGTGTTGTAGCTTCTGACAATGTGACTAATGAAGGACGTTGTGGCAAACCAAACTGTGTGACTTTTATATTTAGGCCAATGGGCCTTGTCGAAAGTTATTTTCAGAAATGGCTGACTTCGGCTCGTAGGTTTCGTTTCGTAGGTTCGTAAGTGTAGGCTTAGCAAGGCCCATCCTGTACGACAGCTTTTCTGAAAAATGAAAACCTTACTGAACCATTTCGTTGATTTTGAAAGAAAAAAAAAAGGTGAAAAATAGGTCTATTTTTTGGTCTTGATTTTAAATGTTCCATAGTTGAAGGCAGACGATTATCAGGACGTTTTGCGATTCATTCATACTTTCAGGATTAGAGTTAAGGCGATGTGTCCCCTAGGTAAGGGATTACATACGTTAATGACAAATGCTATAGTTAGTAGAAGGATTTCGTCAAGGATAACTGTGTCATTTGTTCGCATGTTGATCTCCTTAAATGCAGTTTATATCACAACGGCAAAGATGACTCTATGACCAAATGCTGTATTGTATCCTTTATATATTACATCCTCACTGCTTTCAAGCAAGCTAGCTAAATGGTCGATACTCGTTATGAGACATATATGACAAAGTTCTCCTAGTGAAAAGTTTCGTCCGAAACAAATGAATCTAGCGAACAGTGTTATGCTATATGGATTGTAACGA